GATAAAAATAATAAAATATGATTTTTTGATGTAAAACTATTATTAATTTGTTATTATAATTAGAAATTATTTGCATTTAGAATTTGTGATTTTTCTCTAATTTTTTACGTTTTGCTTCCTTCATGTTAGTTCTGTCTGCGGCTGAAACGACCCAGTAAGCGGTTCTGAAGCAGACCACCATCCCTCCCCCCTCCCCAACTGAGTCAGACCAGGAGTTCTGCTCATGCCTTTTTTTCTTTTCCCTTCGTCCTGAACCTTTTTGCTGCTTATCAAATAACTTTGAGTCTCGGTCAGAAAAAAAGACTGGAGGGTTTTATATTTCCAACCCGAGAGAAGGAAATCATGCCCCCCCCCCCAACCCAATCGTGACGCGGCTCGCATCAAATCAGACCGTCATTTAAAAAAATTAAATGTGGCACATACTTTTTATCATAACTTCGGATCTACTTGGCCTAACAACACAATTTAAAAACTGGTTTAAAGTTCAAAGTCTCTGCTTTTCACTCGAGGGTCTCAGAGAGGGCCGACCTTTACAGGTAGAGCATTTTTTCTTCCCAAACTTTATTTAGGTCAGCCAGCATTGACAACGTTCTGTGGATGACGTAAACGGCTCCGCAACATGGCAAGGGACGCAAAAATCGCACAACACCATGAATCGATAATGAAATTCGTTGCCAACGCTTTTAATAATCGATTTTTATCACTTTTATCGATTCGTTGTTGCAGCCCTAAACAGATGTCTTAGTTCTTGTGGAGTATGCACCTAGTTTCCAGCTTCTGTAACCAAAATCCCCTCTGAGATGCCCAACTTCAAGAAACATCTTGTCACCATGCTTTTTAGCAATGTTTTTTTTCACTAAGTACAGTCAAGTAATGTTTTCAGATAAAGTTGTTTCATTCAATTACATGAAAATCAAAATTAATATTTTTGAGGTTTTAGTTGGTATTCTGTGTCTCCATTGAAATGCAACTACCACAAAAACAGAGAATACTTATTTTTTTGTAAGCTGGTCGTTTTAAAGGACTAGAAAACAGGAAGCTCTCCACACATCTCAGTAACGTTATATTTTCTCATTTTTGCAGACACAGGTGAGAGGTCTCACCCAAAGCACAGCTGAGCGCAGCAGCTTTACGCAGGCCGTCCAAACTTAGACAGATGGTGTCCCTCTCTCTCTGGCTCTGCTCTTTGAGCCCCTCCGCCCCCAGGATGAAGGCCAAGCCCTTGGAACTGCCCGCCATGCGACCCGTCAGCGGCGTGGACAGCACATCGATCAGGTTCTTCCAGACGCCCGTGAGGATAAAGCGGGAGAACATGGCTCCTAAAAAAATGCAGAATGTAAAATCAGTAACGTAACAAATAAATGTCACAGCACTGATTTAGTTGCAATAACGAGTGACCATGTCACGCAGGAAAAAATGGTGCTAAAGATGATCTCATCAAGAGTGACTCAGCAGAAGGTGCTATGGTAACTGTGGTCAGTGTTTACTGGGTAAACCACTATCAGACAGAGACCAGGTGAGTCACTGACTCGTTCCTTTCACATCTGACCTTTTTCTGCACATCTGCGCTGCTGTTTATCCATTTCTGTCACCTCTGATCTCCTCTGCAGCCTCGTGAGAAGAACTGAATTCTAGTCTGTTTTATAATTTCCAAATACTGAGCTGAGTGACATGATCAATTTAAATCAGTCAAATGAAAAAAAAAAACTGATCATTCTTTCCACAAACATATTTTATTAGTAAATCTGTAAACAATTTATGTTCATTACTTTATTAATTCAAGGAAGTTTGATTTTACAATCCTGTACTGATTAAAAACATGTTTATAATGTGAACAATAGAGCTGATTTCTGAATTTATGATAATTATTCAATTTATTAAGATTTTTCGCTTTTACTCTGAGCAACAGCCTTAAGCCTAACAAGGTTGTGGCCTTGTTCTTCTGTGCATCTTAATCAAAGCTGGAGCATGCTGCATTATTTCTGTCTCTTTGATGGATGTACAGTCAATGCAGCAGCTGTTTGACACTGTTCAGCAACAATCTCCGGGTCAGGCAGTTCCACTTAGGACAGCTAAGAGAAGCAGATTCATTGCAGACCAGAAAGTTTTATGTTAGCTGTGACTTTGATCTGAGTCAGGCAAACAGCAGGTAGAGGAGTAATCATCAAAAGTAGTTTTATATGTTGCAATTGTGCAAAATTCACCAATCTAATTAAACATTTAAAACAATGAATTCAAAACAGCTTACAACAGATTACTGACCTGCTATCACAGTGTCACTTCCTGTCTTCTCACAGCTGAGTGGTGATTGGCTCGATGGCCTCCTGATCAGCTGGCATCCAATTGCACTGCTGCCCAGCCCGTCAATGTCTGAGTGGAGGAACAAAGAAGAAGGGATGGAGGGAAAAATCTTTATAAGTGCTCAGTATGTTATTTTCTTATTTTTCTCCAAAAAAGCAGAATATGGAAAAACTTAACTGTGTGTTGGTTGTGTACACTTTAATCTGATTTATTCTAACTTTATTACCTTGTTTTTGAGATCATTTCAATCATTCCTAACATTTCCTCAAAGAAAATGAAAACTAAAACAAAAAATAGGGAAATTTAGTCAGTGTGATTTGATTTGAAGTCTGAAAACTTGTAACTACAAACTATAATATGTGGAGGAAAACAAGGGCGTAACTTTGTGCTGAAAGTTGGTGGGGACGCACCGTGGGGGACGGGGTCTGACGCACCCACGGTTGTGCGACCAGGTTTTTCTGTTGTTCATGTCTTCAGTGTGTGCTCAGTTTAACTGTCTGCACCCATCAACAACTGAACACCAAATGTTTCTGTTGTGATGCAATAATACTCAAACCATATTAACTGAGATTATGTTCACCTTCATTCAACCGTGTACTGTATCAGCCCTTTAAACTCACTTAGAATACAGTTTAACAATCAGCCATAGTTTCATACAGCAGACACACAGGTGGAGCACAGGTGTGTTGGTTTATCCTCTCACATAAGTCTTATAATGTGTGTATATAATTTCTAATGTATTTTAACAGGTTGTTAAAGATACTTTGACCTACACAAATAAACACCTGATTTAATGACTGGAGACAGATTCTTCATTAAACTAGTTGCATTGTCCTGTTTTTAAATTCAGTTATGACTCAGATAATTAAATTAATGTGATAATTTATCCCAAACAAGCTTAGAGGAGGTTTTTACATTTATTTATAAGATCGATATGTGGACGTTTGGAAC